ACAACTACACTTTGACTCATAATTCCACTTTTGGGCATTTTATCCAAGAGAAATGAAAACATGTACCCACAAAAAACCTCATACAAAAATATCCACGACAGCTTTATACACAATAACTAAAAAGTGGAAACAACCAAAACTATCCATCAACAGAAGAAAGAATAGACACATGATGGCATGAAATTGGCCCAAAGGGACACTACTAAACAATAAGAACAAAAAGAAACCAATAACACACTGGCAGCAGCATGGATGAATTCCATAATATTATGCTGAGTAAAAGAAGCTGGACGCAAAAAAACGCTCCATGCTGCATGAACCACTTTGTAGATTGAAGAACAGGCAAAACTAAGGTTAACAAAACTCAGAACTGTGGTTGTGTCTTTCTCAGGAGACAGAAATATTCTATATTGTGAAAGGGGTGTGTGTTTCCCTGGTATGTTTGACTGTCAAAATGCTGTAGCTAAGATTTATCATTTCAATTTATGTAAATTTTAACTGAAGAAAAAAAAGTAGTAAAATTAAAAGAGGGGAATGAATACATAATACAAGCATGGCAGACTTATTGAAGCTGGCTGGTGGATAGACAAGGTTTACTATGAGATTCTGCTATATATGTTTGAAATTTCCCAAACTAAAAAATTTAATTAAAACAATAATAAAAAAAAAAGTGTGGGAGCAGGGCATTAGCACCAATTAATCAGTTACTTTGGAAGCTAAAGAGTTTGACCCTTCAGTTACTACTGATAAGTATGAGCTAGGTAAAGCAAATGTAGCTTGAAGACAATTGGGAGGATCAAAGCTTGAGGGTAAAATGGTAGCAACAGGGCAGGGCCCAGGAATAGAAAAAACAATTGCAATGAAGGCAGGGCCAGGGAGTTACCATTCATTCAGAGATAATAGAATAATGATTCCAGTTTCACATTTTAAACTTCTTCCAGGCCTGTCCTGAGGGTGTGCCTCCACTCTGTTACATGAGACCTAGTAATGCCCAATGAAACTTTCCTTAGGAGCTCGAGGTCCATTTTTGTTTCGAGGAGGTAATCATCTCAGTATGCCCTGCTCTTCCTAGATTAGAACACCATTCTCCATAACAAGGGTCTTCTGAAAATAAGTGTGAGCCTTCAAAATATTTTTTTAAAAAGTAATTAAAAATATGTATAGCACCCGTGAAAAAAAGTTTACATTGAGATTTTTTTTTTAGCTTTGAAGAAAAAAAATATAGTCATTTCACAATAGGCTTTGAAAATTCACAAAGTTGAGTATACAGACTGTAAGGATCCACTCTAGAAGAGCCTTGATGGGATCAGGGATCCAGGGGCAATAAAGGAAGAACTTCTGGGACATTCTGAGTTTGCCTGAGGATGTGAGAAGTGTTCTGAGAGATATATTGAAGAGACAGTTGTGACCCATCCATCTGGGGCTTGGGGGTGTGGGGGAGATTGGGTAATCAGCTCAGTGGACAGTCTCCCTGCCTTGAGGCTCTGAAACCAGAGTTCACAAGTCTGAGCCCGGGACTTAGCATCATGGCTTTGCACACGTTGAATTTATCCTTTGCTAGATCCCTGGTATAATGAGATGTTTAAAATTGTTCTAAGTTTCAGTTGTTATTTTTATTCATAAAGGGAACAAGAAAAAGAAAGAAAACAAAATCACATTTGTACAAAATAATCTTATCTCATCATTTGTAACTAGAATATATATTTATATGTATAAATACATATATATCATTGAATACATGTGTTATGCTTCTATTTTTCACATATTGTAGCTATAAAAAAGCAAGCCATATGTCATTACATTTATCCAACCTCTTGCTCATCTGGAAAGACTTTTTCTTCCTCAAGCTTGTAAGAGTCTTTAGTGTGAACCAGTTAAAAAATTGAAAATTTTCAAAATTTTCTAATTTTCAGCCATTAGAAAATTTAAAGTTTGAAATCTGTGTACTAAGCAAATGAAGAAAACGCAAAAGGGTGTTACAAGCACTTTTCTTTATTCATTACTAGAGGCCCGATGCATGAATTCATGCACCAGTGGGATCCCTCAGCCTGGCCTGTGGGATTGGTCCGAAACCGGCTCTCTGACATCCCCCGAGGGGTCCTGGATTGCAAGAGGGCACAGGCCAGGCTGAGGGACCCCACCAGTGCATGACCGGGAACCGGGAGGGATG